ATTCGAAATTCGTCACCAGTGGGTTTCGAACCCCCTACCTGGCCGACATATCGCTTGGGGGTGCGACAACTTAACTATTTCACTAAGTCGCCACACCCTCCTTGCTTTTTTTTTAATGTTCTGATCTATATAATATATATATAATAAGTGCTGGCTTGTAGTATATATTTTATGAATTGCTACAATCATGGCAGGGTCTTCATGGAAAAAAAAATAATAGATAGCAAATTATTTGTTGTCTTCAGTAAATATTTTAAAATCTATTCATAGTCTAATTGGGTTTCATATTTTGTAAGTGCCTAAGCAACAATACGTGTTTTAAAATAGTTATCCACAACTACAAATAGACTTAATGTTATTTCAAATCAGTTTGTTTTAGCTGTGTTATCATAAATGATAACATCTCAAAATCGAGGCCAAAGTCCATATCTTTGTTCTTTCGTTATTCAGAATAATCTAGTAAGTTTATTTGATGAACTTTCAAATTGGGTAACAATAAATAAGTCTGGATCTGCTTCACATTTTTTAAAAGTTTTTGTAAGAGTTTTGCTATATCATTTTCATCATGATTTTTAGATCAATGAAATTTTTGCATTGTATTATATAAATTTTTGCAGTGTATTTGATCTATTCTCAGTAGTACGAACAAAATATTTGCCTTCGTAGTAACAACTCTAGTGGAGATGTGGAATTTGAGAAACTCTTTGATCAAAAGATCATACTGTTGTGCTGTTTCTAATTGTCTCATAACTGTATAATATTCAATCTTATCAATTATTTTTTGAGATAATCTAAAATATTTGGGTGCAAAAGCAATAGCTTTTGGTTTATATTCATGAGTATGAATATTATTGATTTTTGTAATATGAATCTGCTTAGATTTTTTTTTAAAATAAAATAAAACAATCCACTGACAGTTTGTTTTAGTAGAATGTTTATTATGATATATATTAATATCTTTCACCTTTTTAATATGGTTAACTTCTGATTTCCAACAATGATAGTCACAATGCTGAATAATTGTTTTGTCAATTTGATCAAGATCTTTTTGATATTTATTAGCTACAAATCTATTTTGTTTTGCAAATGAATTTACTGCAATTTGAATAGCCTCCCAGTTGGCAAAAATATCACCTTCTTATAAAACAATTTCATTTTCATTATATTCTTGACCATCATCATTATCATCACTTAAGCTATCTTTCAATTCTTGTAATTCAGTATCATCTTCTTGTAAAACAATTCTATTTTTATTATATTCTTGACCATCAGCATCATTAATGCTTAAGCTATTCTCCAATTCTTGTAATCTATATTGTTCAACTATGATCAATAAAAATAGTTATAATCATTGTTAAGAAATAGTTTGTATTATACCAACTTTTTGGCCAACTAACTTTGAATTTCTTCATTTACCTTATCATTTTGAGCTATTACGTATAGCAAGAGAATTTGTTCTAATTTGTCTTGATTTTCCAAGTATAAATTTGGTGAATATTCACAATCTTCAGGATATAGTATGTGTTTATTAAAACTTTGGTAGAAGTTTGGATATGCGTGATTCTTGAAATATAGTATGTATTTATTAAAACTTTGATCATTTGAATATGCTTGAAGAACTGAATCTGGTATCTAATATTTTTATAAGAATACAAATAAGAATTGTAAAATGTAACAGACTTGTTAATAAAAAGATATAAATGAAAAACTGATCAAAATTATTATTAGGTTTATCCATTGTTATTAGCTTTTTTAGATTATTTATTAGCCTAATAATACTACAACAAATAGTTTTTCAAGATTACTTGAATAATTTACACTTAATAAAGCACTTTAAATGGTTTAAATAAAAATAGTGACAAAAACAGTGTGAAAAATATAAAGAGACCTGGTTAAGTTAAATAGAATATATAAAAGACAAAAAATAGATAACAATGACAAGCTCTTGGGCAGTTGAAAACTCAATATTACTAAGTAATATGTGGAATACTAAGTAACACATATAACTATATACTTTAAATTCAGTATTATATAGGGCAAGGCAGCTTCTTTGAATGCACCTATAAATACATTAAAAGATTAGAAATTAAATAGAAAAAAGAGAACAAAAAAAAAGTATAAAAATATTTTAACATATTTAAGCTTCACTGCAATGCAATTGAATAAGTAAATCTTATCTTTAACTAACTACAAACCAGAATTAAACCACTAACCGAATAGCCAGGATTGTAGGCTTTAAAAAAAAAAGTGAAATCGATTGTACAAGGTATATTCGTATAATATATACTATTATGTATATATGTACGTACGTACGTGCATACGTATATACGTACTGTATATCTTGTATATCTGATAGTACATTATGCAGTATAATATGTATGTACAACGTATTGAGAATCACATTTGTGTAATACCTATAAATTATATCATGTGATATAAACTGGTATTAGCGGGTGCATCTAAATACCCAACAGCTTACGTAATATTTCATGACGATCTATGCATTCCCGACCAATCATAATCGATCACAGATTAGCATAAATCTAACAATCATAAATAGTATAAAGATCTTCTACGTATTGCACGAAAAAAAATTATATATGTGAATTTAGATGTACGTAG